TGCCCTCACACCCGACCTGCTGCACCCTACTGGTCACGACTTCCCACTAGAAGCCCAGGTAACTACCTGTCCAGTACTCCCTGTGGCAGGTTTTCCAATGGTTCTCTAACCAACCGATGTCGGCTCATGATGAAATCCTGTAACCAAAATTTAATTTCTTGACTATCATCAGTAAATATGTCTTTCATCCAAATTGGTAAAATACTTCTCAGATTACTTTCTGTCAAAAATCAAGTCATTAGGTGTTAAGATAAACATTGACAGTCATTGTATTTCAGTGGAATCTCAGTATAGTATCATACGCCGGTTTAAGAGTTAAATTGGCAGAAGTTAGAATTCATGGGCTGGCCATCAGATCGGGTCTCAGTGGCTTCATGGTCTACGAGCTAGCTCACCTTGTATCCAGGAGGTCGTCGGTTCAAACCCTGGCTGCGGGTGCATACTGCTGAAGAGTCACAAGCTAGGACGAAGCAGCTGTCCAGTACTCCCCGTGGCGGGTTTTCCAATGGTCCTCTAACCAATGTCAGCTCATGATGAAATCCTGTAACCAATCAACCAAATCCCTACAAACCAACACTTTAATATCGATGAGATGCTCTTTAGCAACTGGTCCTATTCAGGTAGGTAGTTACCTAGGTGGGTTCTAGTGAGAAGTCGTGACCAGTAGGGTGCAGCTGGTCGGGTGTGAGGACAAATACTCGCCTAAGACATTAGCTAGGGGTCGCGCTATATCGTGAATTGGCAGAAGTTAGAATTCATGGGCTGGCCATTGGATTGGGTCTCAGTGGCTTCATGCTCCACGAGCTAGCTCGCCTGGTTGCCAGAAGTTCATGGACTCGAACCCCAGTGCAGTGGTGCGTACTGCTGAGGGGTCGCAAACTGGGACGAAGGAAACAGCTGTGCAGTACTCCCTGTGGCAGGTTTTTCAATGGTTCCCCAACCAACCTACAAACCAACACTTTATTAAGGGTTAAATGTTTTAACCTTCTGTCATCGAGTCTGATATAATCTTTATGAACAAACTTTAGGAAGCTTTTCGACACTTACATAACGTTGTTTAGCAATAAAGAGACTTGTGTTTCACAAAACAGCCCCCCCCCCCATCGTAACAATTGAATACTCGATCGGGAAGGATAATAATCGGATAAAGGCCAATAAGGCAATACCCCCCACCCAAAAAAAGACAAAAGACAAATATCCTTTACAATATTCAGTAAAATAACTTGAAATGTTTCGACCTCACACAAAGAATACTGAGATGGTGTGGGTGAATTATCGTTGTAAACACAATGTGAATAGGTTATTTATCTGTTGCGAAAGCAATTATGTCTATATAGAAAAGATAAACATTCATCGATGGGTAAGTCTTTCAAGCTTTACCTACGTGTCATCCGTTTCCTTTTTGAACTGTTGTGATAACAATGAACATTGAAATTGATTGTTAGTTTACACACTGTTGGTTTAGCGCTTTATTAATACCAACATCATCATTACATGGTTTCAGAAAAGATCTTCATAAAATGCCTGGATCAGTCAAAACTTCTTTTTTTTCCTTCACCTTCCCCAGTGGAAGATAAGGCTTCAAGCTAGTGGCTTGAAGTTTCTTGAGCAGTGTTTATTTTACGGGATGGGGTTGCTAGCCTCATGCCTAACCTTTCCTCTTCACCATCATTATTTCTTGCTTAGCGAGGTAAAAGGAGTGCGTCGGCCGGGAATCGGACCCCGGACCATGTGCATGGTCGGCGAGCATCCTAACCGCTATGCCACCGACGCACAGTCAAAACTTCAAAAACCCTCAAATTAGATACACTCACACACACACACACAAATCTACACAGGATTCTTTTAATACAACGTTTAATCCTACTCTAAAAATATGGTGGAGATATGTGAATGACACTTCCACACACAGTGTTAAAAACAGAACAGATCTCTCTCTAGCTGCCTGACACATATAAACTCATAAGTAGAAGGAATAAAATCCACATTTGAATCGGAAAACGCTAAGGACAAGATACCGCTTTTGGCCACCTCAATGTGTATTTATCAATTTACTTGCTCGTGTGGAGCAAAGTATATTGGCCGTACGCAACGTCAAGTCCAAAAACGTATTCTGGAACACTGCCCCGCTTGGTTGGCCAGAGGAGAAAAGAAGAATAGCAACAGCTCGATCCTCGAACACCTTGTCATCTCTGGACATCGAGCACCCCCACATGAATGCTTCACAGTGTTACACAGAGTCCCTCAATATCGTACAAAGGGACTCCGGATTCGCCATCTGTACATAGCTGAAGCATTAGCTATTCGAGATCTAAAACCGGACCTCTGCATACAAAAGAGATACATACATTCTCTTGCCTTACCATGGCCAGAGTAAAGTTCTTATCACAATTTTGCCTCTTTCCTTTATTCTCTAAGTTCACTATTATTACCATTATTATTTTATTTTATTAATACTTTTATTATCATTTTGTCCCCATCATCCACATTTTATTACCACTCTATTACTGTTTATTAATAACATTGTTTTTCATACATATTTTATACAAAAACACTTTATAGCCTTTCCACTAGTTCCTGTCCATTTTACACGAGATTATTGATTATTCACTATCTCACACTTATTACGTCATGCCAACTTCTGTCTCCTTTCTATCTTACAATTAGTCATCCCTTCTTACACCTTACATTATGTAATACAATTTTCCAAGGACAAAATTTACCAGTATCTGATTGGTCTAAAGATTTCTTTGTTAATTACAATTACGATTGTACAGCTCATGAAAATGAATCGTCGAAAAGAAAATTTTCTTCGCTGTTTGTGCCTTTTTTCTTATGACTCAATATGGGAATATTTCGTTCAAATCGAAAAATGAACAAGGAGAATTATCTGTTATGATGTTAGATTGTAAAATAAAACGAATAGAGGAAGGTAAATTGCATACTAGAGTCAATAAAAAACCAACACATTTTGCTAACAGATATTTAGACCTTCATTCATCATCTTATCTGTTATCTGTCAGTGAAGGCAGGCGTAGTTAAGTGCTGTCTAGCAAACCAAGGAGTAGCACTAAGTAGTACAAGAAAATACCTAAATGATGAAATAAAACAGACAGAAGAAGCGTTGGTATCAAATGACTATCCTATAAAATTCATTAGGAAGATTGAAAAACGCCAAAAGAAAAATAAAAATAATTGTGAAACTAGTAATGATAACATGAATAAGAGAGAATATAAGCCTCCCCGCCTTCAAAGTCATCTACAAGGCAAAGAGTAATTTACCCAAATCCCTACGTACCCGACTCATCTGTTGTATTGCTGAAGCCATCTTTGGCTATCGAAACAGAAAAGCCAGATCTCTGTGTACAGAAAACGTTCGTTCAACCCCTCCAACTTTCATGGTCTTAATCCCTCTGTGCTAAAGTATGGTAATCCCCAATCATATTTTAGCTCTACCAATTTTTCATTTTTTCATTTTTGTCTATTCAATTTGTATACTCTTCCTTATTATGTCATATGTTACTATTACTACTCTCACTTTTAATTGTCCCCGGTATTATTTCACTTGTTCCACTTGTCATTCTAAATCAATTCCTTTATGCAACATTAAATTCTATGCTATTAAATTTCACACAATATTACGTAACGTTTTTATTTTATTCGATTTGTCTACTAATCTTATTCTATATATGACATTAATTTGCTTTGCCACTTGACATTTAACTACGATTATAGTCACAAACATTTTAGTTTTAATTGCATTTCATACTATTATTATTATTATTATTTCATGCATTCACACCTATGTTTCAATTCCCTCACCGGATATAACTTCTTCAAACCATATATATACGATTGTACAGCTTGATGATAAATTCGTTGAAAAGAGTCTCTTCGCTGAATCATTTGTTTTGATTTTCTACATGTTACAATGGGAATTTTCCATGATTTAAAAGAATATAAGTCATTTACTGTTATACCATATAAGGATGGAGGGGACATCTGAGACCCTCCCTACGTGGGATTCTTAATAAAGCAGGAATCAGGCTGGTGGTGGCATTTAAACCTACAAACTCACTCAGGTAGGACAAGCTCTGTAGGTTAAGTTAAAGGACCCTGTCGGTTGACCTAATTAGACAAAATAATATCATTTACAAAATACCCTGCGATGACTGTCACTTAGGTCAACTACATAGGTCAGTCAAACTAGTAGATCAGGGGTAATCAGATTGTCGGGACACAAGAATTTAGCTAAGGTAAGAATGGTTGAACCCACCAGAGAAGATAAGTAATTTAGAAAAAAGCTCACCACTACATTGCATTTCAAGCATTAACATACGACCACACAATAGCATGGTGGGAGAGGGTTAAGATTCTAAGAAGTAATCTATGTAGGTGCAGAGAGAGAGAGCGAGATTGATTACTGAATCCTGGCTGGTTCATCGAGTCTACACCCAACACAACACATGCAACAGAAATGACTCAAAGCAAATACCAGAAATAGGCATGGAAGATATTATTACCACTAGTCAAATCAGAGAAGGATAATAAATAATCTTAAATTGTATTCTATTTCAATTCAAATCACACACATCACAACATTCTAACAAGTTACTCACTTATTATGACTATAAAAGAAACACTCGTCTTATTTCCCATCTTATTGTATTTGATCAATAACACTCATATTACTATTATTATTATTTCTGAATGTACATTATCCCATATTACTGATTTGTATTCAAATGTCTAATCATGAATTCCACTCATGTATATAAATGAAGGAAGACGAGAGTTGTGTGAGTGAGTAACCTGATATGATTATGAGTGGCAATAACAGTTTGTGCTCGAAACTTGGTCATCAGTTCATATTACGGTGTAACACTGTATGACACTTTATCAAAATAAAATCTTATCTATAATGGAGGATGACCAATGTTCACCATGGCGTTGAAATTTGTTTTGTTTTGTTTTCACTTTTTCTTTTTTCGCTTTTGTAGAAAATGGTCTAGACACCGGCAGTCAAAAAATCAATTTAACATTTATTATTCTTGGAACAATTTGTCTCATTATAGCAGCAATCCTCGTAATCGTCACATTCATCAGGATTGATTCTCTACTCTTCTATATTGTCATCATTGTACTACTGTCGTTAGCGAGTAAGTTTCGATTTTAACAAATTTAAAGATTTTATACCATGTGTAAGACTTGGGCACTGTGGTGGTAGTAAGCGATTCCATATTAGTTTGTTTATTAGATGGATGTATCACACACAGTCAGTGAGTGAGTGAAACAGTGTTAGCATTTACTGGATGACAAAGTTGTTTCGAACACAATTCACCATTATTGCTGTTCATAGTCATACGCATCACCAATTATAATCACACGACTTCGAAACTTGGGTTATACAGTTTTCTTTGTCCTCTCGTATTTGTCGTCATCATTGGGGTAGTAGAATTTTCCAGATAGCAGAGTGGACCGGTGGTGTTGAATCATTCCTATTACACGTGTTGATTTGCAGTTGATTCGATAGACAAAGCTTCTCTTATCAATCTTCCCCACTCGCCACCCTGTGACACTAGATTTCAAAACTGTCATCTTATCCCATCCAGTCTATTGTGCGGTTGTGTTTAACTGCATGTAGTGCTTGCGATAGCTGAACTATTCTCTAGATTTCTCATCTTATTCGGGTCAACCAATCTACATTTTCCTGCTGGGTATTTTGCTCGGCTAGTCTGACTCACTGACACTGTTCTACTGCTTTTACCCATCTACGTATTTGACCTGACAATCATCGCAGACAGGGTATTAGATAAACTAAATTGTTTAGTTTTATTGGCTCCACAGGATTGATCCTTTAACCGACAAAGCATGCTTCTAATTGCGTTTGTGTGTTTTTAATATCACTTTTATTCCTGCCTTGTTAAGAATTCTCCACTGTAAGGTGGAGCCCGTAAAACAAAACAATTCAGTTTATCTAATACCCTGTCTGCAATGATTTTCAGGTCAAATACATAGTTCAAAGTAGTAGAACAGGGTCAGTGAGTCAGACTAACCGAGCATAAAAGCCTAGCAGCGAAATCTAGATTAGTTGGCCTGAATAAGATAAGAAATCTAGGGAATAGTTCGGCTGCCATCGCAAGCACTACATGCAATTACACACAACCATACAATGGGCTGGATGGGATAAGATGACAGTTTTGAAATCTAGTGTTACAGGGTGGCGAGTGTGGAAGATTGATAATGGAAGCTTTGTTTATTGAATCAACTGCAAATCAACACGTGTAATAAGAATGATTCAACACCTATCCCCTCGGATATCTGGAAAATTCTACTACCCCAATGACGACGACAAATAGGAGAGGACAAAGAAGACTATCAGACTCAAGTTTCGAAGTTGTGTGATTATAATTGGTGATGCGTATGATTATGAACAGCAATAATGAATTTTGTTCGAAACAACTTTGTCATCCAGTAAATACTAATACTGTTTCACTCACTGACTGTGTGATACATCCAATAAACAAACTAATATGGAGTAACTTAGAGATTTACTTGAATTGAATAATAGAAGGGAGACCTAATAACAACAACTAGGGTGTGACACCGTTGGCTAAATGGTAGTAACATTTTCCTCAAGCAACCACATGCAGCAGGTCAACATTCTTTGCCCGGCTTAATTTAATAGCGCATATTGAATACAGAAAAAAGAGAGAAGGCTCGGTGTAAATCTAGCGATGCAATTCATCTTGAAGAAAAGAACAGCAGCGCCAATGAGACTTCAAAGATTGAATGACCCATATTCCATGCAAAACACAAAATAAGGTGACCAAGGTATTTGTCAGCATGTTTAGTAAATCAAAAGTGACAGTTAAGCAGCACCCGGTAAAATTGATTTACCTGATTAAAAGTGCACATTAAAATTGTTTTCAAAAGAATGAATGGATACTGAACAAAGAGTAATTACTCTTTTCGATAACTTCATCATCAGGCTCTACAGTTATGTATCCATCCATTATAGTGAATGAATGAATGAATTAGTGTTATGAACAACAACATTAATGTTGCTGTTTATATTAACATCGAATCAATAATAATAATAATACCAATGGATTACAGTACAATAGCATCAACACAACAATAAGCTGAATGTCAGTTGAATTAGGAAAGATAATATTACAAATTCATGAATTTATAGTCTTTACCGAAGGCCAGGGCAGTATTACGAACTGGACTTGCTTCTTTCGAACACAGAGCACTGGTTGTTTGAGGCGAATTGCAGTAGCCTCCGTTGTTTGGAGCATACGGTGCTTCGATGATGATTTTGTCAATTTATTAGGCACCCGGTAGATGATGATAGAGAAGGATTCTTCCACGCTGGTTGGCTGGCTGGCTTTGTGGCCGGCCGGCCGGTTTGCACCAGATGGTCGAATATGGAACTATTGATGATGGTTTTCACTACACCTTTACTTAGCCGTACTGGGAGATGTTCTCGAGTCAGCACGAAAAATCGAGTTCCTAGAGCATAAACAACCTTGTCTGTCATCCAGTTGTTAATACTGCATAACTACCACTGTGGGATAATATTTAAACATAAACATATCTGATATGGAATTAGACTTGATATTCTACTTTACCAACTCATAAAACCTTCCAAATTTTTTCTCAAGTTTTGGTTTTGTAGGGATTTTCTTTGATTGGTTGGAGGATTTCATCATGAGCCGACATCGGTTAGAGAACCATTAGAAAACCTGCAGAGAGTACTGGACACCTGTTTCGTCCTTGTTTGCGACTCTTCATCAGTACGCACTCATATATATAAATGTCCAAACCAAGTTCACTTTTAACAGTTTGAAAAAAACAGTTTGGGCATTGGGTGGTATATGAGTATTCATTATAATAAAGGTTGTTTTCTTGTATTTCCCAATGAATGAATAGAAAACAAAACGATATTTTCGTTTTTACTGGCGTTTCGCTATTTAATGCTAATAGCTTTACCAAAGTATTATTAAACCAGAATTTACAAAATCCACTCAGCATATATATGACAAAGAGTTAAGAGGTGGGTGAGAAATAGACTACTACTTAGACTACTTAGGTCAAGTTAAAAGGAGGACATATTGAAAGCCAAAATAACAATTAAGATCACTAAACCAAATAACAAAGGTAATAGTACATCTGTTATGATATCAAAATAAAGTTCACTAACTTGATCATCGTTCGTTAGTCTGGGGGCATTTTTCGTTGTCAAGTTGACCAATTGGTAAAGATAACAAAATCAAGGGTGGATTGTTGGATTTGATCACTGTGTAAAATTATAAAAGTAGTGTGTGTTTACACAGTGAACTTGCATATCACATTCTTGTTGATTATGTCAATTCATGGAGAAGGTAGGTGTTGCAACCATGTTAAATTCTGTTTTAGTCCGTCATTCCTATTCAGACAGTTTGGATTCCACTTGATATGAAGTGCTTCTGATGATATTAGACGTTCTTTGTGATTTCTGCAGTTTTTCTGGGTTATTTCAATATTGTTGAAATCAATTTTTTGGCCTGATTCTATAGCGTAGCATGTAGACGACCTATGGCTGATGATTTTTCAAGCTTGTCTAGTTCACTCACTGGATTTACTTCTCGGTGGTCGAAGAGATGCTCTACGGTGTTCATTTCTTCTGATTTTGATTTCTCTCTGGTGATGTTTGTCCGATGTATATCGAATCACATTCCAAGCATTTTATTTTATAGACACAATTATATATAGAATCTTTAGGGATTTGGTCTTTTATATGGACAAGGTTGCTTTGCAGTGAGCGTGTTTGATGTTTCGAAGAAAACTCTGATGTCGGGCTTATTGAGTACTCTTCTGATATCGTCTGACCTCTCCGCTCTATATGGAATGACAACTGTTGAGTTCCACGTTTTCGACCATACTTAATGTCAGTGTTGATTTTGTTGATGAAATTCTTTGGGTAGTTGTTTTACTTGAGAGTCTCAGTAATGTTTTTCCTTATCATTCGTTATCACAGAGTGTGTTCGTCTAAGAAAACTTGAAACAACTGAAATCTTTGATAAATCTATTAGCAGCATTAAACAGCGAAACGTCAGTAAGAGCAACAATATCGTTTTGTTTTTCATTCATTGGGAAATACAAGAAAAAACAACCTTTATTATAATGTATTGAGAATAATTTTAGAAATATAATATGTTTAAGCAAAGGGAAGGTTTAAATAGGATATATAAAACAAACTCGGGATGTATCGGCGTTATTTATGATGGGGACAAAAGAAAACCACATCTTTGAACTGAATCGGGGGACTTTCAGTATGATTCACCAGAGAAATATGTCTTTAATCACTCTCGGTCTGATATCAAGGTCCACATCACCTCTCTTTGTCTTCAGTTATGTAGTTTTTAAAACAATTAGTTCCCTTTATGAATTTAGATAAAGCAATAAGAAGACAAAATTGTCTGAATCGTGTGTGTAATGTATTTGCGCAACACATTTCGAACAATCTGATCCATCACACACGGACTTGTCATAGGAATATTTATGAAATTAATAAACAGTTAAGAGATGGGTGAGAAAATAGACTTGATTACTTAGGTCAAGTTAAAAGGAGGACATATTGAAGGTGAAAATAACAATGAAGATGAATGACTAAACCAAATAACAGAGGTATTAGTACATCTGCCCTGGTTGATATCAAAACAAAATTTACCAAGGAAGGTTCAATGTGATGAGGAATTGTTTTGTACGCATAAATGTGGTGTGAACTTGCTAACTGCCAGCTAGGGCTAGCTTCCACAAACTTTAGGATACGCCCTCACCCAAACACGTTCTATAGATAGGTTTAAAAGATGTGTTAACATCAATTTTATGTTCTGTCTCCTCTGTAATATGTTTCGCAATAGGGGAGCTAGGTCTTCGTCTGTTCTAACTATAAATGGGTTCTGAAGACTCCATTTGTTTTTCGAGCCATTTAGGAAGATGTTCTGAAGCCAGCCCTTACTTGCAGAGATCGATGAGTCCTCCCTATGCATGTGTGTGTGTGTCCACACGTACATTCGAACTGGTAAATACAGTGGGATGTGACATCATTTTTCGTATGTTCAAAGGGCTTAGATGGATGGATATATTGGCTTCACATTCTCAATTATTA